TGGTTTCTTTGTTCTTCATGTGTTTCTTTGTTCGTCAAATAACTTGCTTTGTTGTTGCAACAACAACAACAACACACACACACATATACATATATATATATATATATATATATATATATGTATATGTGTGTGTGTGTTGTTGTTGTTGTTGCAACAACAAAGCAAGTTATTTGACGAACAAAGAAACACATGAAGAACAAAGAAACCCATTGCAAATTACATATGTGTGGCAAGACTACTGCTACTACTACTGCTCACCCCAGCCCTCTCTTCCGTGGGGCGTGTCGACAAAAGATGCATAAATTGCTGCCTTGGACTCCATACATGGCTTGGAGGTGGTCTTATTCAAGCTAGCTATCTACGTACAAACCGGCTGCAAATTGAAACAGCTTGCTGGATGACACAGTTTCAGACTCAGACAGCGCATAACAAACTGGCTGCGTGTTTTTCAGCTTTTCAGCTTTTCTGAGCTGGCAGACAATCCAGGAACCTAACTAAATGCAAGAAAAGCTAAAAAAGTGAAAATTTCATCCGATTTCCTCTTTAATGCATAGACTTAAAGGGGTCATATGATGCTGCTAAAAAGAACATTATTTTGTGTATTTGGTGTAATGAAATGTGTTTATGCGGTTTAAGGTTCAAAAAACACATTATTTTCCACATACTGTACATTATTGTTTCTCCTCACAAGTGTGTAGAACAGTCAGTGATGAGTGTTGAACAAAACTCCGGCGTTTTGAGCATATTGAGTGGATGCTCCACTGACTAAGTAAAACAACTCTGATTGGGCACTATGTTCATTGTGTTCGGTGCTGAATTGCCAAGACATGAGGGACACTGGCTTACTGTCTTTATAAGTTTAAAATTTAACAGTGTCGCAATATACAAGATATACCATAATTTTATATCGTCAGCAAATATGACAATATTTCAGGTATTTCTGCTGTTTATATTGTAAATCTGCTTATTTACATTGATTGCATTTTACATTTTGTGTTTTTTTTAGCATTTTAATTTAGAGTAGAGTTTGGCTTAAATTATTTTGAATATATTACAATAATAATTTAAATGCTTTAAGTCATCCTCTGGCCCCCTCTGGAAGTTTGCCGAGGCCCCCTGGTTGAGAACCATTGATGTAAGTGGGTTTTTTCAAGACAAATATTTTGTTTATTTATTATAGAAATACCTTTCAAATAAGACTGAATCACGCGGAGTTCAACAGGTTTCACCAAAGCCATATTAAGGGTCAGACCAGTAAAAGTAGTGCCTTAAAGTGCACATTTACACTTTTTTACAGTGAACATGCTTTTCTCCTGATTTTCTTTGATCAACAGTAATGAGAATGTCAGATGCATTGCTTTAGAGATGAACAGCAATAATCATGCAAATACTAAGATTCAAAAATAAACTTGATGTCCTAGCAACAAGATGTTGGAAGCTTATTTCTCAAATTTCATTTGAATGATAGTTGTATGGTTTATTTCCATCACATGTATGCATAGTACAAACAGGGTTTTATATTAAATTAATACAATTGTGAGCTACCCTTTTCGGTAATGTAATCACTTCCAGACATATAATCTACCTATGCCAAATTGGAGGACCTTTATTATAACCGATCAATCTCAGAATATTTTTCATTCTGAGGTTTAATCACATATTGATTGTTTAGATACGTTTGGAATCTCTTTAGGTATTTGAAATGCACAAGCATCTCTGCCCAACTGACTGGAACACTGTCAGCAGTCTCACAGTGTTGCTTGATGATGTCAAGGGAGCTGCATGACTATTATTAAATTGTATACTGCAGAAGAACCACCAGACAGTCCACTTGAAAACTTTGTGAAGCTGCTTTACACTTAAAAAAAATAAACGTTCTTTGGAGAGCCAAAAATGGTTCTTTTATGGCATTGCTGCGAAAACCCATTTTTGTAACCTTTATTTTCAGCAGAAGCAGTAGCAGTGGATAATATGAAGGAAGTGGAGTACGAGATATTTTAGAAATGGCTTTCTATTATGTGGAAATATGGATTTTTTTATTTTATTAAATAGTTTGACGAAGTGTTATCTTACGGGCATCTCTGAGTAATACATTTTGCTTGTGGCGTGTTGATATCACCAGCTGCACAGTAATGTTCGCCATTGCTTGTGGTTACAACTTAGTGTAAAAAGGGCATACAATTGTAATGTGTGTAAATACAGTTCATGTTTTTTTTCAGTTTCTGTGCTACAAGGCTGTATGCATCAATTCCCTAGTAACTGGAAGGTTGTAGTAATTGGAAGTCTACGCAGGGAGCTTCTTCATAAAGATGTGAAGGTCTCTAATCAGTCATTCATTCAGAACATTCTTGCACTCTCAATTAAACCACACAATGGAAAGAGCAAATTCAGGACTAATGAAAATGTGAAAGATGAACTGATTTGTTAACCAGCTTTACTCTAGAAAGTCACAAATGTCAGAGTTTGGTTTTCAGCAGTAAACTGCACTTAAGAATATATAAACCAGACAAAAATTTTAAATATATTTCCCCCCCAAAAAATCTAATGTAATAAAAATCTAATCTTATCTAATCATAGAAAGTCTAATGGGGGTGGGGGTGCTGGGGGGAACTTGGATTATGAAATTAGATGTGACCTACGGCATATGACAGTAAACCCAATCTCCCACAGCCACACTTTCATGCATGTTAAATTAAATATGTCATCTAACTTGGCCAAGGTCCATTCCACATTTATTTAATGTAGAAAATACAAAGGTAAGGCATTAATGGATGCATTTCCAGTCAGCTTTAATTCTTGTTATATTTCTTAATTTTTTTGTTGTTCTAGCAGCATTTTAATATCGCCCTGCACGATGTTAAATTTATAACAAAGACTTATAACTCACTTATAACTCATAACTGAGAAAATTACTTTAACTGAGGCAGAATATCAAGCAGAAATGACAGCTCCAATACCCTTTTGATACTCTTTTACATTAACTGAAAACCTTTCTTTCATCATTACAGAGAGTGAATCTTTTAATTTCTTTCATTTCCTCAGGGTATTTAGAAGTTCAACCTTTTTCAATAAGCAACCAGAAATGAGACGGAGAGAGAAAGTCACCACCAACCCTTTGATAACCACACCAACACACACTCAGTTTTATATAATGCACTCTCCTTTTGAAATGAGACTATTTTTATGGACTGTTTTTGAAAAATCTGTCATTATTTTCTCACCCTCATGTTGCTCCAAACTGTATGACTTTCTTTTTTCTGTGGAACACATAAGGAAGGTTTTCTTTAGCAGAAAATCTCAGATCTGTTCTTTTCCATACAATTAAAGCACATTATGATAATTTTGAGTGAGACTTAAAATCTGATTTGTGAATCAGTTGTGTTTCCATTGATTGATCCCAAATGTGTCTTGATGGGCTAAGCTTGGAAATTAAAATGACATTTGCTAATGATATCCCCAATAAAGCTATCTGATGACTTCAGAAGATACACAATGAAGAAATAAAATGAGCCCTTTGTTTTGGACAGGCAGGTGAAGATGGTGAGATTACAGCTGAAGAACAGGTGCAGATGCTGCTGGATGCAAAGCTGCAGTGTCTACAGAAGGTCTCCACAGACGACCCTGCAGGTAGAGACCGTTTCCACTGAACGTTTCTTTCACACAGCTTTTAATTAAGTGGCCTTTTCAGTTCTCCACTTCAGCCATGTTGTTGTTGTGCACCACCTAAAGTTCACCTAGAAATAGTAACATATTTACCAAAAGTATGACCATCATCACCTCTGCAAAAACATGTTTTCTATAAAGCTTGAATGAGTCGGTCACGCACATAAATAAGGCTTGCAGACATAAATGAAATAAACTGAGACGGACAGCTAATGAGACTCCTTCAAGACCTTTGTTAGGCACAGCTCTTGGTTAGGCACTGCACAGTTTGTTAATTCATTTAGTTTCATTATAAACTTGTCACAGGTGATTAGGCAGAACATGTGAAGGGGGAAAATACACAAGCTCTGTTGGAGATGACTCAATGTAAAATGGCCTTCTTTGCTGTTTTATTAGTAGTGACTTAGCAACTCAAAAATATTAATTTGGCTTACTCCCACCTCTCTTTTTTCTTAACATCATAGGTTATGTGTAATTCAGGAAGATAAAAATAATTGTGTTCTGTACAAGGAAATTATGTGCAGAGGACATGGGTGCAATGACTGGTATCTACATTGCAAAACATATTTAGTTTTTAAACTGGCATGTGACAACAAATCCAGATTCATTAGAGCCAATTTGCACTAGGAGAAATTTTTAGCATAATTGCGAATTTTATATTGTACATGTGTTATTTTGGTATCTGAACTTATTTTTGCCAACATAAGTCAACGTAAAATCAAAATGAAAATCTAAATACTCTCTTAATACATACTGTATATATTTTCTAAAGACTTGGTATCTTTCAGCTGACATCACCTAGGCCACATGAGATATCACAAGAAAAATCTGATATTTTTGCTTAAAATATCAAAATTGATCTTTTAATTTATGCATTTTTAGTGGATGTGCTAAACATTATTTTACAATTAAACATTAAACTAGGAGTATGCTGTCATCTCGTCATTAAATTATGTTAGCTTAATGTGCGGTCATATTTAAATTTTCACGGTCAAATTTTTTTTGTCATTTTAATAGAAATCCACACAATCAGGAATTTTGTGTGAGGGTAAAAAATGAGGGCTGGTCACATGAATTTAACAAATTGGCAAACAGAAACCTGCTTGGTTTGAAAGTGACTTCTGTGTGAGCAGTGTTTTATACATTGCTACACTATTGACAATACACAATCGACCTTTATTTGCCCATAATATTTTACTGAAATTTCACTAATGTGACTGCACTATTAAATTGTAAGAACCCTAAAAATGTGGAAATATGCAAATTTGAAAAGAACCGAGGATTGTAGTAACATTGCTTGTTCCTGCGATCAGGAGGTTGTGTGATATCTGAACCAGGCTTGTTGGCATGTCAAGATGTTCTTATGGTTGAACCTTCAGCCTCCACATTCCATTCACAAAGTCTTCTCAAAAGCAGATGCCTGCTGCATTTCAGTTGTTTTCACGATTTTGCATCATTGTTCCTGATGGATGAAATCAAGCCCCATCCTTCATTGTCTTCTTGTTTCCTGCTTCACTTGAAAATGGATAACAAATTACTGTTTCATGTTAACTGTAAGTAGCATTAGAACAGCTCAAGACTTTCTCTGAATCATTCCAAATGGACAGTTTGAAAGCACTTGATGGTCTATTGTTTTCAAGCTTCATTGCTTCTGTGGTCTGATGTTGTCAAAAATCTGTGGCTGCTGGACTGACTCTGTTGAAACCACTGCTGATATATTGAACATCTTTAACTGTTTGACATTTATTGCATCATTTTTCTTAAGCATTGTTTTATTTCAATCAATCATTAGTCATTGTTACAGTTATACATTGTTCAGTTGTTTTAGCACAAAATGATAAGTGCATTGATCAAGTTCAGTGTTCATAATTTAATTAAACACATAATTTATTGCACAAGCACACTTGCTGCCTCTGCATGATGTGGCAGTGTGAGCCTCTGGGCACTCATATTAGGCCATGCCAGATGGATATAATCCAGTATCCATGCACAAAATAGAAAACATGCCCCATAGGTGTTCAGATGATACTATGAGTGATCTTTTAGCTGATTTTATCCAAAGAAAACCATAAATGATTCATTTGGAGATGGGAAGGATGTATGACGGTTTCCTACTGGGCTTTTACTGTAGCTTATTTTATATTTATCTTGCTGCAGGATTTACTTTAAAGATCAGGAAGGAATGAAAATGTGCTAGACTCATGTCTACATGTCTGTCATGTTATGCTACAAGACTGGGTGATTTCACGTGTCATATCTGAACTTGTCCATTGGTGAATTGACATCTCTGCCCTGAAACTGTTCTGCTCTTAGTTGGTGTGTGTGTCCCAGAGTGGGATGGTCTGATATGTTGGCCACAAGGCTTCCCTGGAACTCTGACCAAGACCCCCTGTCCCAGATACATCTATGACTTCAACCATGCAGGTTTGAAACATTTGTTCTCTCTCCGTGTCTCATCAACTTTTGTTTTTTTTCTTCCAGTTGTTAACATGCATCATTGTTAGCTCCAATGGAATATTTGTTAATTTGAATTTAAAAAATGAATGAACAACAACAAAACCACACATAATTTGAAAATTGTATTAGGTCAAGATCAAGAGAAATTAAGTCAGGATAATGAGAAAACTTTTATTATGGTGAGAACATGAGAAATGTAAGTCTTGACAACGAGAAAACAACTTTTATTATGTCAAGATCATGAGAAATTTAAGTCGTGACAAGGAGAAAACAAGAAAGAAAAATAATAATCCATGGCCTCTTAGGGCCTCTTTACCTTAGTCAGTGTAGCACCATGTTTAATTTTTGACCACATTGAACAAGGCTGTGAGAGATAGAGGTACAGTGCACATACTAATTGTTCAGCTGGCGAAATGTCTTTCCAAAAAAAAAAAAAAGACAAAAAAGTAGACAAAAAGTCCATAAAGCAGTTTTGAAAGTAATGAAAATTACATGATCTAGGACCTTTATAAAGTGTGTACCATTGTAAATACTGTAAGTCTGTCCCTTAAAGCTTCATTTTTATCCGTGTTAAATTCAATACCTCGTCTAACCTCAAAGCTGTCTATTATTAGTGAATGAGAACCAATCTCTTCTGTTGGAAATTATAATATTACCCATACTATTTCTGAAGTGTGCAGTTTGTATACTATGTGCATATGTGAATTATCTGGATATGTGGAATACTCACAGTGCAACTTTCTTGATTTTAACTTCAATTTTTAGTGTGATAAAAAAAGAACTGGAAATTATTTATTTGTAATATTTAATCGTTCTTGACTCATTATTTGATTGATTAACATAGAAAGAAAGATTATGCATGTAACATAAACTAACATTTACTACAGTTTTACATTTGTATTGTTGCATAATGTGTACTGTTCCATACTGGCTGTGTTCAGTAAGTCTTTGTCAATCTTCCAGAACACGCTTACAGGAGGTGTGACTCTAATGGTTCCTGGGTGCTTGCAGAGAGCTCAAACAAGACCTGGGTCAACTACACTGAATGCATCAAATCCCCAGAACCCAACAAAAAGAGAGTAAGCTTCATTACAGTCATTCGTCATTAATGGACCGAGATAACTTTCTAGGTGGCTTGACGCACCAACTCTTTGTCCCCACAGCAGGTCTTTTTTGAACGACTGCACATCATGTACACAGTAGGCTATGCATTTTCCTTCAGCTCTCTTCTAGTGGCCATCTTTATTATTGGATACTTCAGGTGAGTAACTGAGTAAAGTGTGTATGTGTGTGTTTGATGCACTTCATCTCATAAACTGCAAAAAAAAAAAAAAGAGTTTAACTTATGCTTTAAATAGTTTTTGTGGATTAAAGTCTAATATTATTTTCTCTCTTTGTACTCCGTGCTTCATTAGCAGCACAACGGACGTGTCTTCAGTTTAGGGGAATGTGCCGTTAGCTGCGACGTGCCAATACTATTCACACAGTAAAGAAAATGCCTTCTCACATTTTCTCAATTTCCATTGAAAATAGACAACTGAAAAAACATTAAGAACTTGATTGAAAATTTGGAGAGTGACTCAGTTTTTAAAATGTGTGCATTTAAAAATGAATGTTACAAAATGTCAATATTAATTGCACTGCAGGTGAGCTGTGGGAAGCAATGTAACATTGCAATACAATTCTGAACATTGCTTACTGGCAGCTACATACAGGGTCGTATAGCACTTTAGAGAGAAAGACGAGTGCAGTCTGGGAAATACAGTTTTTTTTCTCTTTCTTTTGTTTTAGTTTGATTGTTTATATGCATGCTGACATGTATTTATACATACTGTAGATTATTATTTTTGTCAATTGTTATCTCTCTCAGGATTTTATGTTTCCATTTCCAGTGCAATCTTTCAACTTTAAAATAAATTGTTTAAATAAAATATATTGTTTAAATTGTTACTAGTACTACCTTGAGTTTTTATTTTGGAGTAAATGTAAAATGCTAAAAAACAATAAACTGATGAGATTTATAGTTGGTTTTAATAAATAGAATAGCCTATTAATTACATTGTTAATGTAAAAATACAAAATAGATTTTTATTCTGGTATAGGCATGTCATGGGACCTTTAAGAACTTGATTGAAAATTTGGAGAGTGGCTCAGTTTTTAAAATGTGTGCATTTAAAAATGAATGTTACAAAATGTCAATATTAATTGCACTGCAGGTGAGCTGTGGGAAGCAATGTAACATTGCAAAACAATTCTGAACATTGCTTACTGGCAGCTACATACAGGGTCGTATAGCACTTTAGAGAGAAAGACGAGTGCAGTCTGGGAAATACAGTTTTTTTTCTCTTTCTTTTGTTTTAGTTTGATTGTTTATATGCATGCTGACATGTATTTATACATACTGTAGATTATTATTTTTGTCAATTGTTATCTCTCTCAGGATTTTATGTTTCCATTTCCAGTGCAATCTTTCAACTTTAAAATAAATTGTTTAAATAAAATATATTGTTTAAATTGTTACTAGTACTACCTTGAGTTTTTATTTTGGAGTAAATGTAAAATGCTAAAAAACAATAAACTGATGAGATTTATAGTTGGTTTTAATAAATAGAATAGCCTATTAATTACATTGTTAATGTAAAAATACAAAATAGATTTTTATTCTGGTATAGTGTAAGTAATGTTTATTTAACCAAGAAAATGTGACTGGGACATGAATTTACATTTATTTAAAAAAAAAAAAGCCTCCTCAATTCAGAACACCACTGTTTACAATAATAAGGGCTTTTCTTGCTTGGCTTCAGATAAATATCAGGTTTTCGGATGTAACTTTCAAAACAGCAGCTATGAGATATTGTAAATGAAAACTAGACGAGGTGAGAAAGTTGTTTAAACTTTTGACATGTGAGATGTAGCAAAGCAAAATACATTTGAGCTAAATAAATTATGACAAAGCAATCACATCCAAGCTGCTGTGTACAGTAGAATATGTGAGTATTCTTGTGCACTTTGAAGTGTCTGATGCAGTGGATTGAACACAGCAACTGTTGCTGAAATACACCTATCAATGCATTTTTTTCCTGAGGCGAAATTTTGAAAGTGGCAGTTTTTGTTGTGTTGAAATACAGGAGTCAAGCCCGCTCTCAACACGTAGTGCTCTTTCTGACACTTATGATCAGAAATACCCAGAGATATATGAAAACTGTAATTCCTCATTTACTAAAGTAATATTTAAAGGGTACTAAATGTAGAAAGCCTTTATAACATGCCACGTCAGACTTTGGGGATTTTTGTGAACAGATGGTCACTGAGTGTATTAATATTGCATTCATTCTGTCTGTGTCCCCTGTGAAAATGATACACAATATAGAGAACAGATTAAAATTGGATGGGTACACTAAATAAAAATACAGTACACCATAACATTAAGTGGTTTCCAGTTAGTAGTGATTACAAGCTACAAAGGATGTATATAAATCTTGTCTTTAATATACAGTAGCAGAATTTTAGCATTATGTAGAAACAACCTAAGCACATTACTTAGTAAACCTACTTTGTCTTAATTTCCCAGAATGCATATTATTTCTGAGGTCTACAATCTTTTCCATTTTCTGCCTAACAAGCCTCATATGTATTTCTGTGTGTTTTCAGGCGTCTCCACTGCACCAGGAACTACATTCACATGCACCTGTTTGTTTCCTTCATGCTGCGTGCTGTCAGCATCTTTGTGAAGGATCACGTGGTACACACTAGTGCCAGGCTGCAGGAATTTGATGCTGTGCTTATGAATAACTTCACTAATGCTGTGGATGTGGCACCAGTGGACACTTCACAGTATGTGAGTCAAGTGCTATCTCATGCATCTTAGTATTAAAGTATTTTATCAAATATTTTTCAAGTATCTTATGTCGCTACATTTCAGATTATGTAATGAATATTTATATTAGGGCTGGGTTATATAGTTTAAAAGGGTAAATGACATATTTATAAATGATAAATATACTGCATACACTGTAAACGCTAATGCTAAAAATAATTCACTGGTTTGAGTAGGGCTTATATTAAACAAATTTAGTTCAATCAAATTAACTTTTATGAATATTTAGAACTTTCTTTTTTTAAAGAAAGTGATCTGAATTGTTTCAGTGTTTTGAGTTTAATTAACTTTTCTTTTAATTCAGACAAACTTAATTTAACTGAAAATAGGCTTGGGTTTCTATTTCCCAAGCACTTGAAAGGGAGAGTAAATGCTAAATTATGTTTTTGTGCAAGATTAATGTGGGAGATTTAGATATGATTGCAAAGCATCGTGCTACTTTTCAAGTTGACTGACTTAGGTAGTTATAAGTTTCCACTACCAACAAATATTTAAGTTGATCATTTTAAGCTGAATAATTTAAATAAAAATGCATGATGTAGATATATTAGAGGTGTAATGATTTTCAAACCAAACCAAAAAACCGCGATACACCACCCACGATACGCGGTACTCTTGGTACGTTCCGAGGTCCGCCCCCCACCCTAGCAATCGAAAGTTATTACAAACATTCGATGGTTTTGAGTCATGTAGTGTGGACAGAGATCTTTTCTGAAACACAGTGGAAATGTCAGTATGGATGAGGAAAGTTTTCATTTTAAAACGCCGTTTTAAAATGAAAACACACTAGTGTAAACGTAGCCTTAACATCTATGGGGGTCGGACACTTACACATTACAGCCTCACATGTGAGCCACATCTCTGGGTGTTGGCATAAACTAGTAGTTGTGTTCGACTTGATGTGGGGCTATGCAGACCGATCGGTGTATGACATCAAATAACTTTTTTCATACCTATTTTATGAGCTGTGGCTAATTGGGATCAGATGGATGGATGGAGAAAGGAAGGATTAAGGAAGGGTGTGTAAACGTCAACAGCAATAATGGCTGATTAGCACATATGAAGGACACTTCTAAATTATCTGCTGTCTGTTCCAGGCACAAATCTCTGTGTCGAGACGTGCTGAAGTCACGTTTGGTCTTGTGCTGTATTGCATACCTTTTCTGTTTCGTGCACTTGCTTGGCCCTTTGTTCTGTTAAACAGTAAAGCGTGTTCCTGCAAAAAGACTTGAACAGTGTAAAGAAATACTCTTTGAGAGAAGCCGTAAATCAGCAGAAGTTGAAAGCAGCATGTAAGTGTATTTATTGTCTCATTAGTTTTTAGCACAGTTGTCATAGCTAGAAAATGCTTGTTTTGTTTACTGTGTTGAGATGTGCTGAAGTCGCATTTGGTATCATGTTGTATCATGTACCTTGTCAGTTTTGTGTGCTTGCTTGGCCCTTTGTTGTGTTAAACAGTAAAGCGTGTTCAGCTGAGTTTAATTACAGTTTGTCATAGGGCTGCACGATAAATCGCATGCGATATTTAATGCGCATCTTGTCAGTAAAGCCGCTTCTGTAATCAGCGGTAAATCTCCATCACGTGCGTGCTTTCACATGAAGCAGCATTTACTACACAGAGCCGTTGTTCACAGACAAGCTGCGCAAAACCACGTTCATATATGATCGTGGTTTTGCGCAACTTGTCAGTGAACAACACCTAGTTTGTCAGAGAGGTATAAAAAGGTTATACCACGGCAGCCCTCGTGTAAAGACCAGCGACTCCACCAAGCAGGATGCCGACAAGGGACATAAGTATCGCTTTTTATTCGTTCTCTTTCCTACAACTTGTTTCACTTCTCTTCCAGTTTTTATGACCGATATTTACTATGTGTTTCCATATCCTTACTATTACTAACACTCGCAAACCACACATCACACACTGTAGGCAGTATAATCCTGACAACCTGCGCATTTTGCCTATGTCTGCTAATACACTACTTTCTTTTCCTATTGGTCTCTGGAATTGCCAGTCTGCTGTAAACAAAGCAGATTTCATTACATCTATTATTTCATTACATCCATGAGCTCAACCTCAGGGCCCTGACAGAGACCTGGATCAAACCAGAAGACACTGCTACACCAACAGCCCTCTCCAATAATTTCTCTTTTTCCCACACCCTGATCTGACTGGAAGAGGTGGAGGTACTGGTCTGCTTATTTCTAACGATTGGAAATTTTATCCTTTACCATCTCTGGTTATCAACAGCTCCTTTAAATCTCATTCAATTACTATCACCCACCCTCTTAAAATCAATTTTGTAGTTGTTCATCGACCCCCAGGACCGCTAGGTAAATTCTTGGAGGAGTTAGATGTGCTGCTCTTTCCCTGAGGATGGTACTCCTCTGGTTATGCTTTGAGACTTTAACGTCGCCCTAGTTAAACCTCAGGCCAGAGTCCAGCATGCGGGCAGGTACCCGACAGGTGAACCGCTAATATCTGATGTAACGGGTGTAATAATACTTTTGTGTCGGGTGCGAGTCAGATGGGTGACAGTCACGGGTGGGTTGCGGGTCCAATAGACAAGACTATTTCGACTCAATCCAATATACTCTGACAGGCAGCTGCTTTCAAATTGTCCCGTGCTTGTGTTTACGCTCTATATGAAGACCATTAATGGCTTTTAATTACAGCGTGATTTGCAGCACTGAGCATTGTAGCCAATCAAACTGCCACTGATTGACAGCAGCTATAGTGATTATATTAAAGGGAGTGCTCTTTGCTCACTTTCTGTATTTAATCTATTCACGATTTGAATAAAAATTTTAGCCTTCTTTTAATCTAGGCCTTTTAGACATCCAAGTATCTGTATAGCACAAATTGTTCAAAATAGATTGTTCACACAATGTATGCAGTTATATTGTTTACACGATGATAAAATAAATGAGTTTTGTCTACCTCATGTATGAGATTTAATGCAGTTCGGGTCGCGGTTTTTATGTCAAACGGGTCGAGTACGAAATTAAATTAAGTGTTGCTGTCGGATAACGGGTCGGGTGTTCTGTTAATTACTGGGGGTGCGGGTTTATCAAACAGGTTGATTTAAATGACTTTTGCCGTTTATCTAAGGTGATTTTGGAAGTTTTTTTAAACATTCGTTTCTTATTTAATTGGTTCCACATTGTTTGCTGATTTTTGTCATTTATTTATGTTATTTGACATTCGTTTTGCTAATATATATATATATATATATATATATATATAATAGACAGATATTCTCATCCCAATGTCTATGAGTGACTGAGAAGGCCGGGAGGTTAAAGAGTCAAAAAATCTTTTAAGGTTTCCTCATGACTAACACTCACCTGTCATGTTTATAGCTGTCCCACAAATCAGCCTGAAAGGGTCAGGCTTGGTAATTTATTGGACTAATTACTAAGTAAACAACTTACCCATTTGCACATCTCAACTTTCAGTCACATTCAAATCGAAATGAACAGATTACCTGTCAGTGAGAGAGTGACCACTCAGCTCTGTTTAATTAAAGGGTGATATGATGTTGCTAAAAAGAACATTATTTTGTGTATTTGGTGTAATGAAATGTCTTTATGCGGTTTAA